TAACCAACTTGCTCGAGTAATCGAATAATCGCACAGCCCTAATGTATTTAAATTACCTAATTCGTATAATTCAAGTTGAATTTGAAATTTAACATATGGATACCCTGCAATACATTTGTATCTTAGAATTAAAGCCTTTTCAATACTCTTTCGTTTAAAACCTACATTCTACCTACAGTTCTAGTACTCTATCACAAATATATCCTAAGATATGCAGTATGAAAAATTCCGTTTGTATGGGAGGTGCCACGCCTCCACCAGTGTGCACAAAATTTCATGATGATCGGTTGAGTAGTTAAAGCGTGAAAGCATAATAAACAAACAAACTCACTTTCGGTTTTATAATATTAGTAAGGATAACCTTTAGATATAAAATTTCAGTGAACCTTTATCTTCATTCTTTTAGCTCGAGAAGAGGGAGTTAATAGAATAGAAATTTATTTATTATTTTTTTTAACTTTGAACGCATTTTCTTTGTAAAAGTTGGTTAGCTAGATTTCTCCAACCGATCAATTCCAGTTTTTTTGCGCTAGCTTTTTAAATTAATTTTGTATGGACGGATTGAAGAAGTAATCTACATCTCGAGACTTCCTAAGCAGCATGTTGTGGCGTGGCATTAACCACCTGTATTTGAAAGTGAACGCCTGCTTCCCTGATCCTTTTCACAATCTATAAGTACTAATTATAAAAGAAATTTACCTTTTTTGTAAGTGGTGATCTCATGAGCGGCGGTATAGTGGAAGGAATATACGGCCCCAAAACCAAGAACTCCATTCTCTTGGCGAACTACCCTAGACTCTTTTAAGCGGATGTTTTTGCCAGCAAATTTTGTGCGGAAGTAATTGTGCAGAAACAATCAAAAAGACATCACATGTGTCATCTACCTGCGACAAGTCAGGCTGCACTAATAGCCGTATCGCCGCATGAGATTAAAGCACGGGTTATATGGAAATGTGTAATGGAATTGAACACCCTGGGGGAACACAACATAGTGCATCTGCTGCGTGTCTAGCGCCACAAAAGCATATATGGCAACGAGGAGGCTAACAGACTAGCTAGAAAAGCAGCAGCCATTCGCCCTATGGAAACAGAAACCTTCCTAGAGAAGAAAAACCTTAGCTAAGTCGAGTACATTGGGATAAAACGTCTGGAATAAGACAGGCGAAAGGACTTCTAGGAAATTTTAACCTCAAAAGAGCCAGGATAAAACTAATTTCAACTTCAAAACAGGACTGCTAATGGGTCACTGCAGCCTGCGGGCCCATATGCATACCCTGGGGAAGAGTCCAGACGACCACCTGAAACCTCACGACGAGAAGAAGACTAACACAAATGAGACGATTGTGGCCGCCCTCGAAACTGCTCGGTTTCATCAGAGCACTAGGGCTGGACGTGGGGTTATGATGAGCTCTGGAGGGCACAATAGACCTAAGGTCGTAGTGCACATCGTCTAACTCCGGTATAAAGCTGTGATCGATAAAAAATCTAGTCTTGAAGTTACTGTAGCACGAGTTAATGCATTAGAGTCGGGAGTATTGTTTTCCTAAAACGAAAGCTTAATTAACTGTCCTTAGGAAGTTTTGCATAAAAGTCTACAACTGAAACGGTAGTCTCCCTAGCGACATTGATTGAAACTAAAGAGCGACCGTTACATGGGTGTTTCTTAAACTTATTTAACACGGTTATCCCAGTACAAGTTCTGCATCAAAACTTCAACTTCAAGTCGGCACGGGTTATCGTCATTTTACCGCAATGAAACTTTATACATTTGTAAATTCTATGTTAGTTAGGTCAACAGGAAACAGCTTTGAGGGTATGCGTATCGAAATTCTCAGAAAAAATGCACCACTTATATTCTAGAACACCCTAAAGCAGACATGCCAAGCGCAGAGCACTTGCTTAAGGAGTTCATACAGCGTTGGGCAGGACTGCCCTAAAGTATATACATACATACATAGTTATTTGGATATTAATAGTTTCTATTTATTGTTACATATGTATGTATATGTAAGCTAAACAAAAGCTTTACTGAACCAGCTGTACCAATTCATATCGCATAAAGATTGGCAATTTAATATTGTATATTCATTGTGTGGTAGTGCTTTGTCAAGCAGCATTCATCTTTTTGTATGACTAAAATTATTTTTTGGCCATGATGAATGATATTTGTTTAGCTACCACAATACATCAATACATATTTTACTGTTTCATCCTATTTTGTTTATTTAACTCTAACTCAATCGCCACATAAAGCAATAATCAATATTATTTTTTTCTTTGAAATTTTGTGAGCATCTTATGTGTCTAAGTATGTAAGTAAATGTTTTCTCTTGTTGTGGGCAAGAATATTCATAGCTTTGTATTCAACAATATTTAATAGGTTTTGTGGAGTTAAGATTGCATCCAGCGATTCCGTAGCAATTAATAACGAATTACCTGTATGTGATCTGGCAATCCAGTAGAGTCCATGCGTGAAGCCACATTTACAGCATTTCCCCAAATATCATACTGCGGCTTACGCGCTCCAATAACACCAGCCACAACAGGCCCGATATTTATACCTTAAAAGGAGAAAAGATAAACAAAGATAACTTATAAATAACTGCATTAAAGAGATGGGGTTATTAAGGGATTTGGGAATGAGTGAAATATTTATGGTGACCATCAGTACCTTATTTCATAATGCTGTCCTTCGACTTTATTTATTCTTCTAATAATCTGTTTTGTCCTTAATTTCAAATGTTCAAAAATTTACAAAAAAATTCGCGAAGAGTTTTCATATCGTACATACATAAACGCATTTTATCATATCTCACGACATCCATACGTAAGCGCGCCTTTGAATTCACCGTAGCGAAAGCAAAGCTTAAGTTTATGTTTTCTTACCTATACGCAGCCGAAAATTGTTGAACGAATGTGTATTAACCTCTTCGATTTTATCAAATAATTGCAATGCGTACTCTGCCATAGCGGTAACATGACAAAAGTTCACTTGATTACAGGTATTTGCCGTTAAACCAGAAGCGGCCATATATGTTGCACCAGTACTTTTGATCTTTTCAATGTAGCTAAACGAAGAGATATAAAAACAAAGAAAATAGATTTAATTAAAATTCAATATTTAATAGCCTGAATCCATTTAAAAATCATGCAGATAGTGCGACGGTATATCGAAAATTGGCTTCGGAATAAAATATTTTTCTTGATTGTAAAATAGACGTGCTTCTTAAGATTTTCATAGCATTATTTTTTCATATTTTACGTTTTTTAAAATTTTGAAAAAAAAAATGTTTTTGGTATTTTTTACTTTAGTTTCCGTAACATTAAAGTTACATAGTTGCTCCTAAGGTTAGTTTTCCCAATTTCTGTACTTTTTTAAAATTGTTCAATAAGCACTATTTGCATAAAATTTTTTATTTTTTTTGGTATTATTTCGTTTCATAAGGGCTCTCTGAAGCTCACAAGAAATAATTTTCATTATTTCTCTTGCTTGAAAAAGTACTTTTGTGTGTCTCTAAATTCTCTTGAAGAAATAATTTTTAGAGCATTTTTTTTTTATAGAGCATACTGAGTAAAAAAATTTTGATAGAACAAAATTTCATTTCCATTTCTTGTGCGTCAATTTTATTCGCCGAATGCGTTGGGTTTTTCTTCCATATAAAAATAAATTGTGTTCATTCGTTTTATGGAAGCAAATGCGACAAAAAAATTTTAAAAATCAACGGCTACGACGGCTACAAAACTGAGTACTCAGAAAAATTCGAACACTTCTGAGAAAAATGTTTGAAATTTGGGAGAAAACTTGTTGCTTTTTTTTGTAGTCTTTTACAAAGTGTAAAACTTGGATTTATATGAGTTCTGTTAGCAATTGAACTGTATTTTAATTGAAAATTCTAAAAAAATAAATAATTAATTATAAGTGGCAAACTTTGAACTGGGGGTGCTATAGATATGGCCAAAACTGTATATTCTCTCGCCATTGCTAGACTTAAATTTTAAATAATGCAATGGAATTCAAAAATATCTTTGTTAGAGTTTTTAATATTGTTATGCACTGAAAATTTAATTAAAACTACCAAACAAACAGTTTGTCATAGACCGCAAATAGACATTTATGACGTGTAAAAAACATGTCAGTTACATATTTATGCCACAAACTCACCGAAAACGTTCCTCACTTAGCAATTCGTCAAAATCGGCGATAATCTCGTTGAGTAGACGCAAACATTCCACGCCCTCATTATTACCTTCTAATTCAACATAGAACTCCGAAAAATTCGGTATCGACGCAAACAGTATACACACACTATCGCATTGCTCATGGTAGAGATCCTACGTTATTTTACGGCATTATTAAATGTCGCCAGCAACACCAGCCAGAGTTGTTGGCATTCGATGTGATTATGAGAGTGGTGGCGTGCGTGGGCGGCAATATGAAAGAGGCCATCCGTACCAGCAGCCATGCAGCACAATCCATAGTGCATGCAGCAAATATGGTGGTATAGTTGTTGTTGCAGATTATTTGGTATTTGTTGGTGGCGTTAGTGGCGTTAATCAAGTGTCAGTGAAGTGTTGATTTAGTGGTTGTGTTGATGTTTCATGGAAAATGCAGTGGTTGTCAACCGTTGATGTGGCAGCGTAAAGAAAAAGAAAAGTAGGGAAAAAAATTGTAATTTATGGCATTCAGCATAGATGCGATACATACATATGTGCGTTAATGTACATATATATGTTGTATATATGAAAAGTATGTATTACGTATATAAGTATGTTTGTATAAAACCTTCTTTATAATACCGTCATGTACGTACTCATAATTTGTAATTGTAATTTATTAGTCAAAAAGAGTTTTGGCGTAGATCAAATTGTTAAGTAATGCAGATTAATGCAGAGATTTAATTTTTTTTAGGAAAAGTTTATGTATGAAAGGATTAATTTGTTAGCTGTTTTAACTCTGTGGTCAGTCTCCTTAGCGTTGGATATATCGAACACCCTAGTCCAACCATACTTTCCAACGGGTTTCTGATTTTGAATGTGGGGACTGTTTTAAAAATTTAAAATGCGGATGCAATATGGCAAAAAAAATTTAAATCAACTAGATTTGTTTAAAACAAATAAATCAGGGTTCTTAAAAAATGGCGGCTGCATATTAGATTTACCATTTATCACGGAAAAGTAAAAGTCGTACGTAAGTATGTACATGGCGTATGAGTTACTCAGACGAGATGAGAATGTTACTCATACGCCATGTACGTACTTACGAATTTGACTCTTCCGGGATAAATAGTAAATGATAAAGTACAATTTTATGTTTAATTAAATGTTTATGTAAAATACAGGATTTTAAAGTAAAATACAGGACCTTGCTTGGTGGTGTTAATATTTTACGCATGACTGTACTTTATCCAAATCATGTGTTGAGAGAAACATATTTGGTTGACATAACTAAATTCTTTTCTCAGTGTATTGCAAATTATTTTATATACCATTGTTTATTTATATTTGGCCGTTAATTGAAAATTCTGTTGATTTTTTTTTTTTTTTTTTTTTTTT